ACGATGTAGTATGTATTCAGGAAGAATAGGTAACCAGGTCAGCCTGGGGTTACAAAAGGAATAAGGTTTGAACGGAGTTTCAACACATGGGGCAGACAGAGGGTGCTAGAAGACAGCAAGAGCCAGATGTTCTGACCATGGAAAAGAACTCCTCGTTCAAGGGCTCAGAGGTTAACTAGTCGGTGAAACTTCAGTAAAGGAGTGTTAACAGGAGTTAGTGATTTTAGAAAAGCATTTAAACAGTAAAAAAAAAAAAAAGAGGGAAATAAAGAAAATAAAATTTATCAGTAATCCCACACTCAGAGAGAACCACTCTTAGTGTTTCGGTATAGTTCTTTCTAGGATTTCTTTTCCTCTAGACTTTTCCCTCTGTAAGTCTCCTCTTCCCTGAATTGGTGCCCAATTACCTTGCTACTTAATGTACATATTCTGTGTAAAATTTTGTACTCTATGTATGTGAGAGATGGTGTGCTAGATGATAACAATATAAAGACAGAGCATGTATGTACAGGCTACCCTTCAAGAAGCTTCCTGTTAACACTCATTGAGATTTTTTTAAAAAAAATTTTATTGTATATATTTGAGTATTGCAACATATTATGGGATACATATGGATAGTAAAATGGTTACTATAGTGAAGTAAGTTAACATATTCATCATCTCGCATAGTTACTTCTGTGTGTGTGTGTGTGTGTGTGAGCCAAGAGCAGCTAATACCTAGTTATTTAATATATAAAAATTAGATATAACTTTTATACTGCACAGTGACATGTTTTACACACTGAATAATAGTGGTTATAGCTATTTATACTACTTGCTAACATGCTTTTCCCACTTAATATAAATGCCTTATCAATATATAGGTCTATTGCATCATCATTTAAAAAGACTGTGTCATATTCTATTTTTCAACTATTTTAACTATTTTATGATTTATTTAACAACTCCGTTAAGCTGTTTTCAGGTTGTTTTTTAAACTAAACCAGTGTTGTGGCAAGCACTCTCATCTAGGTTTGTAGTCTTCATCGTGACAGGAACAAAACTGTTTATGATGATAAAGCTTAGACAGGGCAGCAGGAAGCCTGGAAGAATGAGGCTAGTGACAGAGAGACCACTTAGGATGCTGTTACAAGAAGATAAAATGATGACTTCTACTGAGAAAACTGCCTATGGCCATGAAAAGAAACAGGCAGATATGAGACATAGTTTTAAATAAAGAAACAACAAGATTTGATGGCTGTTTTGAAGTGGTGAACAAGAGGAAATGGTGAAACATAATATTGTATGGTTTTCAATTAACAGATGGAATCTGTTGAAATTAACTATTAACCAAGTCAAGAAATAAAATAGTGTTTAGGTTTGAAAGACTTTTGGAATATAAAGACAGGCTGCAATTATGAGCCATTGGAATAAAGTTATAATTTGTTATTATCAACACATAGAGAGAAATCTATGAGAACAAATGAGATCTCTCAATAGAAAAAATTATAGGAACAATTAAGAGAGTTGAGTAATTCTAAGGGATAGAAAATTTAGTGGGGACAGAGAGATAGAGAAGCATATAACAGCTTTGAGAAATTATAGTTTTTTTGGCCAGGAGAGTTGTAGGGAAAGGTTAACCCTGACTTCTAGATTTAAAATTTATTTATCTATTTATTTTTGAGATGGAGTCTCCCTCTGTCACACAGGCTGGAGTGCAGTGGTGCGATCTTGGTTCACTGCAGCCTCCACCTCCCGAGTTCAAATGATTCTCCTGCCTGAGCCCCTGAGCCTCCAGAGTAGCTGGGACTCCAGGTGCACACTGCCATGACCGGCTAATTTTTTTTTTTTTTTTTTTTTTTAGTAGAGACGGGATTTACCGTGTTGGCCAGGATGGTCTTGATCTCCTGACCTTGTGATGTGCGGCCGCCCAAAGTACTGGAATTATAGGCGTGAGCCACCGCATCTGGCCTAGGAAGAGATGGATATTAAATAATCTTTTAGCTAGATTTTGCTATTTTGTAAAACCTGGGCTAATTTATCTAAAAATCAATTTTTGTGTTATTGAGATTAAAATTGAGGTTTATATTTCTGTAACTTTAATTCGGCAGGGAGGAAAGTTTATCTAAATACATGAAAAACATAAACAAATTTTAAAAGGGATATTTGAACTATTTAGCATGATAACATTTTAAAAAATTATAGCTAGTCAAGAATCTATTGTGATTTGAATGGTCTAATGTAATAAGTTGTTTAAATATCCATTTTATTAAGTTAGGAAGTAAGCACTATCTTTTGACACCACTTTTTAACTTTTTACTATTCACGTAATCAGAACATCAATAACGTTGAGGCTAATAAAGTACAAATTCTTAGTTTCAAAAATGGTAAGGTCAAGCACGGTGGTTCACGCCTGTAATCCCAGCACTTTGGGAGACTGAGGAAGGTGATCACCTAAGATCAGGAGTTTGAGACCAGCCTGGTCAACATGGTGAAACCCTGTTTCTACTAAACATACGAAAAAATTAGCTGGGTGTGGTGGTGCACACCTGTATTCCCAGCTACTCAGGAGGCTGAGGCAGAACAATCACTTCAACCCGGGACATGGAGGTTGCACTGAGTGGAGATTGCGCCACTGCACCCCAGCCTGGAAAACAGAGCAAGACTATCTCAAAACAACAACAACCACCAAAGGTAAAATTAATACAGACAGTGTTTTTGGTTGGCCAAGATCATGTAGCTTGTTTTTGGAACAGATATGGATTGTATATTTCAAGGGATAACACTCCATTAGTCTTTAAAGTTATACATTTTTTCATTTATTTTACACAGATTTATCTAAATTTGGATATTTATTTTGGGGTTGGTATATCTTATAAGCAGTTTTGACATATGAAAAATATTCAGATATAGATCATTGATCAACGTAGTTATTTAAGAAATACAGATGTTGGCCTTATCCACTGTGATAGCAATAATAAATGACTAAATAAATAAGATGATAAAAAAGATAGATAAGATAATTTGCAAAATACTTACTGTATATTCCCTCACATTCATCTTGACTCTTTCATATTTGAAACAGTGACCAAACGACAGAAAGGGATTTTGTCCAATTTGTCATGAGCATGAAGAGAGGAGTCTATTGCGAACACTCAAAAGTTATTAATTCCAGATACCATTGTTTATTGAGCCTGCTTCAGTATTCATATCTTTACATTAGCTACCTGCTATAAATTAGTTTTTGTTTGTATTCTGTTCAAATTGAAGTATTTATTATCTCTTGTTCTCAGTGTTCTCAATTGTTTATTTTAATATTAAATATTTGGTCCTTAATATTATCAAGGGGGTTTAAATGAAAACATAAAATACTTAATTGCACCTGTCACATAGTAGGGGGATAATAAATGTTAAATGCTGAGGTTATTCTGCACCCTTTCTCATGGAGGGTGAGTAAGTATCATAGTTCCATTCCAGTCCCATTGTTACAGTATGCTGCTTAGAGTTTAATTACATCATTCACTTTGAAAAGAACAAATACTTTGCCAAAATTATTTAATTGTTTCTATATACCAGAACAAATTATTTAGCCATTTGGGTTTATAAAATGAAGCCATTTTAAACATGCATTTTGTTAATGTCAATTTCTAGGATGTATATATCTACTTCAAAATGATGGTGGTTAATATTTCATTCTAATGTTTAAATTCTAAGATGTTATGCATTATATAATTTGTTTTTTAAACAATAAGTAAGTGAAGGAATTAAATAAAAAAGTGAGTTGAAGATATTTGAATAGGAAGATAGTTCTCATATCATTTTGAACTTGAATTTATTTGTCTCTATAATAAGGGCAACAACATTTCAAAATTAGTTGAAAAATAATTTTAAACATAACTATGTTTGGTTTTGTACCTAGACACTGGGGCATAATCAAACTAAAAGGAAGAATAAAACCTTTCACTTTTCATTCATGTGCAGTACTACTTCCAAAGGGAACAGATAACATTTATCAGAAGGATAGAATTATTCATGTTTCTGGTTATTTGTATTTATAGCATTCTATTTAGCTTGCCCTTTTTTGATAGATGTTCTACTGCACAAATGCATTTGAATTCATATACAATTGTATAAGAAATAAGAATCTTCCAGTGGAACTAGTGATAATGTTTGTAAGAAAGATCATTGTATAGTACTTCCCTCATATCACTTAATGCTTTTCACTGAATTCTAACCTAAATATATTTCAGCACAATAAAGTAAGTTACAGTAAAATCAATCTAACTTTTCATAAATATCTGCTGTAAATCAGAAACTAGCTTTACTTGAGAAAAATTATAATTCTTATATTCATTGAAATATATTTTGAAGATTTAATTAAAATTAACTTTGTAGAAATATTGGCAACATTATGGCAAACTATTTACAATGACATCAAAATATTATGAAGTGAAATAATAAGAAATTCAAATATCACAAAAAAATTAAAAGTCCAAAAATGGAGAATAGAATGGATTGTCAAATTGCTTGATTTCACTCCCACTAGGGAAAAAAAACAAATCTTAAATCTTAGCAATTTGGCAAGTTTTAAACCAGTCAAATCTTATGATTTTAGATCAGAGGTTTCTCTTTTTCCCTTTCTGACTACTTGCACTTACTGTGACTGCTAAGTCTACACAGCTGAATGCTACTCTCCTATGAAATGCAAATGTTAAAGCCCCAGTTAATGACTAATTATTACAGGTCATTGAGAAGATTATTTTTATGTTGACCATTCATTTTTCAATTGAATGCCTTATTTATTTTGCTAATGTTTGAAGTCCTCATTTTAAAATATACAGTGAAAACAATTAAGAATGATTTTAAGCGAGAGTATATTCCATTTATTCCCAAGGTTTTTGAGCATCCGAATTGTCACATTTCTTCCACCAGCAGAAATTGTTTCCTTATGATTTTCTGTATCTGAATATGCTTTACCAGTTTATACTAACCTTGAAAAATTTTCTTTTTCCCATTTCAAGTTCCACCCAATCTGACTGTTCCACAGGAAAAATCACCATTGGTCACCAGAGAAGGAGACACAATAGAACTGCAATGTCAAGTAACTGGCAAACCTAAACCAATCATCCTTTGGTCTAGAGCGGATAAAGAAGTTGCAATGCCTGATGGATCAATGCAAATGGAGAGTTATGATGGAACACTGAGGATTGTGAATGTGTCTAGGGAAATGTCAGGAATGTACAGATGTCAGACCAGCCAATACAATGGATTTAACGTGAAACCAAGGGAAGCCTTGGTGCAGCTCATCGTTCAGTGTAAGTAAATTCCCTTTTATGCATTTCCATGTGGGTACAAGGGAAGAATTGTTACCATTATTCTACTAGTAATATGAGGTGATTTTTGTAATGGGATTGAATGAACTATTTCTACATTAATGATACCCAATTTAAACTGTAATCTACCCTAAATCTGCTTTTTGCATGAGTTTATACACACTAATAGAGTTGTGTTTTTTTTTTTTTTTTTTGTGTGTGTGTGTGTGTATGATAATTATGATGGTGTTATCTGGTTGGTTAATGCCAAATAATCAACAAATCTAATGATGAGAAACTGTCCATGTGCAATAAGCAAAGTGGAAACTGGAAGTAATTGCTAATTCAGGTTGTAATACATGTTTGTTTTCACAGTCCATGTTTTTACTTCAGGCAATTGCATGTCCTTTTCCCAAATTATCTACCTATTTCAAGCATCTCTTTGCTTAAATTTTGGAGATCTAATCATTGAAATGTTATATTTGCATACCTGAAGTTGTAACAGTGAATTACATAATTATCTAGTAATATAGTGATAATTCAGGAAAGTCTTAGATGCTGAATTTTTGCCTGATTTAATCTTAGCAGGTAATTGTTTTACTCTGAGAACTGAATAAGATACATTTTTAACTATTTTTCTATTTTTACTGAAATCACGGTTATAGTTCTAATTAAAAATATAGATATTATGGACTTTACATTTGCTTTTAGCAGTAAAACCACCTAAATCTACACACTTAAGGGTCAAGAAAATGCACCAGTGTTACTATTGTTTGGTTTTCACAGAATGCCCTGGTAACTGGGCTGCCCAATGGTAAAGACACGGCTGAAAGAGAAGAAAACGAAACACAGTCTCCTCAGTTTCTAATAGTGCTACAGCAAATTTTAGTTGATATACTATTTGTTAAATATATGGCATAAAGTTTTCATTAAACAGATGGATTAGGTAAAACCATGCACATCAGTAAACAATGTCATTTTTATCTAACTCTTTTGTAACTCAGGAACTTGAAAATAGAATTTAGTCCAAGAATGTCTATTTTTATATTAGACTTTAAGTTGTTGGCAGAATGAATTAACTATTTTATATTTTAGAGAATAATGAAAGTATGAAAATATTATGCGTGGAACTGCTTAGCTACAAATGTATTTGTGTATGAGATATGAGTGTGGGGTGAGAGACAAGGTTCTGGGTGCTGCTTAACCATTCCCTGCCCCTCTCCTATAGAACCTCAGATTCCAGTTATGCTATTTGTCCTATAAATATTCAAACTGATATTTGCAAACAAATGACAAATAACTTGGCTTGATTTCTAATTGATTATGAGTTTTTTCTCCAAATAAGGCAGGTTTTCAATGTCAGGTTCCATTCGGCAATGGAATATTGCCTTTTTCTCACTGGTCTCTATACTCATGACAGTCTGTTCATGGGTATGAGGATCATGTGAAAACAGGTTTCTGAAAAAAAGAAAAGAGAGAGAAACTGCTTCCCATTTTCTAAAAAAAAAAAAAAAGAGATACCTTAAGTGACCACAAAGGAATTTGATATACTTTGGAACACTTCAATCTTGTTGGTAAGCACAGGATTCTGAGCTGCTTCGACTTATGCACAAAGCTTCAGTGTTCCTGCAGCTATTAGTGCAATTAGTTTTCACTCTGCTCACTCCTTTCTGCAGAGGCTCTGATGCTAATAAAAGCTACAGAACCCAGATGGCTCTAGAGAACTTCAAATTAAAGTTTCAAGAAATCAGAATCTCCGTTCTCCATAGAATATACTTAAATCCAGAATTTTATTGATTAACTAAATTTCCTGTTTTTTCCTTTTTCCTGCCTCTTAATTAGTCCCCTAGAAAATAAATTCAGCATAAGATTTTAAAATTCAACTCTATAATAGGAATGACAATTAACAGTGGCACAGTTGTCTAGTGTGACAGGGATGAACATAATTGAGTAAAAAATACCGATAGACACAGGCAAAGTTTAGTTATTTTAACACGGGTAAGATGATACAATTTATCTGCATCCCAAGGTGACTTCCTGGAGCAGGGGGTATAATCCAACAGCATTTCCTCTCAGAGGCAAACTTCCCTGGCCTGCCCAGGAAGGCAACCGAATGCAGGCAATCTTGCCAGCTCTAGGTGAGGATCATGTTATCATGGCTTTCAAGGGCCTCCCTTCCATATATTTCCAACTCTTCTGAAGAACCTGGTACAACCTGGTAATTTTCCAGGTACAAATAACTGGTAACAACTCCAGAATATTCCTGAGTACATCAAAGGTTCATTTTCCAGACATATAGTCTCTGCCAGCAGATCTTGGCTACATGCCTATCTAAGGCTTATTCTTGCAAAACTAATAGTATAGGAATTCAGATAATGTTTTTAAATTGATAAACAGTCTAACTTTTATAGTCATTTTTTTAAGAGACAGGGTTTCACTCTGTTGCCCAGGCTGAACTACAGTGGCATGATTATAGCTTACTGCAGCTTTGCTCAGTAAAATCGGGCTCAACCGATGCTTTCACCTCAGCTTCCCGAGTAGCTGGGACTACAGGTGTGCACCTCCATACCTGGCTAATTTTTAAATTTTGTGTAGAGACGGGGTCTTGCTATGTTGCTCAGGCTTGTCTCTAACACCTGACTTCAAGTGAGCTTCCTGCCTCGGCCTCCCAAAATGTTGAGACTACAGGTATGAGTCACCATGTTCATCCTGATTTTTTTTTTAATTTGAAAATAATTTATCATTTGCTTAACTTGGATACCTGTGCTACATGTAAGAAATATTAATATGTAATATTAAAACTAAGTTATATCATACATATGTGGACATACATATATATACATATATGTATATTTGGTATCATACTTAGCAATTAAGTCTATCAATGCAGATAACAAGCTATGCTTTATATATTTTGTATTCCCAGCATAATATATTTTACATTATAGCTGTTCAGTAAATTTGTTGAGTAAATATAAGTTTACTCAACAGTAAATTTATTGTGTAAACACAACACACAAAAAGTTCATGCCTGGTTTGTTAGTCTATTGTTGCATTGCTATAAAGAAATACCTAAGACTGGATACTTCATAAAGAAAAGAGGTTTAATTGGCTTACAGTTTTGCAGGCTGTATAGGAAGCATGATGCTGATATCTGCTTCTGGATAGGCTTCTGGAAGCTTACAATCATGGCAGAAGGTGAAGTGGGAGCTTGCACCAGAACAGGGGCAAGAGAGTAACCTGGGATTCGCTACACATTTTTAAATGAATACATCTCACGAGAATTCACACTATCCTATTGCAATGACAGTACCAAGGGGGAATGGTGTTTAACCCATTCATGAGAAATCCCACACCAAGATCCAATCACCTATCACCAAGCCTCACTTCCAACACTGAGGATTACATTTCAGTATGACATTTGGGCAGGGACACAGATCCAAACCATATCACCTGTTTCTTTATTACTTAAGTTTCAGGGGTAGCTGAGGATTTGCTGCATACAGATTTCTTCCTTAAGATGTTTATTACATTGGTTAATTCTGGAACTGCCTATTTTACACACGAGCACACACACGTTTATGTATAATTTTATCTTTTAAGACATAAAATAATGTAAAAGAGGTGGCAATAATAAATAAGATAGAAAAAAATCCAGTATTTTCAAGACATTTTTTACTTGCTTAGTTTTACTTGCATCCAACTAAACAATAACCACTCAAAAAAACTAAAGGAGCACAGAATGAATTGTATATAGGACATCAATGAGTGAAGGGCATCCATCCCTAAAAGGATATAATACATATATATATATTTCTAAATAATATAAACCATCTACTTATGGGTCTAAATATCTAAATGAGGTTTTTCTTAGCTAATGTTATGTTTAAAAGGAAGCAATATAATTTATAAAATTATAAAGTTTATACAAACTTTTCAAATTATTTACTCTCACTAATTAATTTGCCTCTTGTTAAAATCTGTACAAAATGAGGAACAGAAGCCTAGAGATATTTTAGACCATTCTATATCCTGTTAAGAGTAACATAGTCACAACAACGAAACAGTTTGATTAATTCTTGTTCACATTGCTAATTTGTAGAAAGCAAAAGGATTTTTCTTTATGACTTTTAACTTCTACAATTGTCAGTTACCACACAGTTTATCGACCAGAGTATGAAGTTGAAAATATAAGTTTTTTGAAACAAAAATATTTTAAAATTAAACTTAAAAGGTTTTTCTGGGTAAAACTTTTAATAACATTAAAAAATTTTATCCATTGTTTAATTTATTCCCATTTTTTGGAATGGTATTTTTTTTTTTTTAGTATTTGACTCATTTTTACTTGAAACAGCATTAGAATAGCATAATTGAAAATAAAGGTATTACATATATTGATTTATTCATAGTATTTAAAAATCATAGTATGTATAGAGCTTACCAAACACAACTGAAACAACTTTCTTTTTTTTTTCCTCTTTTTTTTTTCTTTTTGAGACGGAGTTTCATTCTTGTTGCCCAGGCTGGGGTGCAGTGGCATGATCTCGGCTCACCACAACCTCCGCCTCCCTGGTTCAAGCAATTCTCCTACTTCAGCCTCCCGAGTAGCTTGGATTACATGCATGTGCCACCACGATCAGCTACTTTTGTATTTCTAGTAGACATGGGGTTTTTCCATTTTGGTCAGGCTGGTCTCCAACTCCTGACCTCAGGTGATCCACCCGCCTCGGCCTCCCAAAGTGTTGGGATTTGACAGGTGTGAGTCACTGCGCCCAGTCAACTAAAACAACTTTCTAAACAAAGTACCTGATTGTTTGAATATTAATTAAACAAAAGTTCCATTGAATTTTCAAATATATATGTTAAATGAGAAACCAGGATATGCGGGCAAGCAGGTGGCTCATACTTGTAATCCCAGCGCTTTGGGAGACTGAGGTGGGTGGATCACGAGGTCAAGAGATTAAGACCATCCTGGTCAACATGGTGAAACCCCATCTCTATTA